AGATAATGCTAATAACACACAATTATAAAAAAAAATCTTATCTAAATATATATCACTCGGGTAGATATGCACACAGTCAATCCCGGGGCGAAGCCCGGGTCACCCATCTAGTTAAAAATAAAGAAGGCATCTCCTGACCACGAGCACATGTGCCTTTTAGATGGCAGAGCGCTATCTAGTGGAGCAAAAATAAACTAAACGTTTATTTAGCTTGCTCCGTGATATTTGGCCAACCCAATTTCTTGATAAATCAAGAAAAGCCATCCACGAACGCGTTTCGCGCTGTTTGCGCTCGTCAGCGTGGAGTAGGCTGTAACCACTGCGACCAAAAAGTTTTTTGGTCCCAATAGCTTCTTAAAAAACCAAGAAATGGGTATTTAAGGCCAAATTTGCGTAAAGACGCTTAACACATGAAAAAAAAAAACAATATAAAAAAAAAAAGATAAGTGGGTCAGGTGTTGATATTAAAAATAAAGAAGGCATTTCCTGACCACGAGCACATGTGCTTTTTAGATGGCAGAGCGCCATCTAGTGGAGCAAAAATAAACTAAACATTTATTTAGCTTGCTCCGTGATATTTGGTCGTGGTCAGGAGATGACTTCTTTATTTTTAATATCAACATCTGACCCACTTATCTTTTTTTTTCCATTGTTTTTTCATGTGTTAAGCGCCTTTACGCAAATTTGGCTTTAAATACCCATTTCTTGATTTCTCAAGAAGCCATTGGGACCAAAAATATTTTTGGTCGCAGTGGTTACAGCCTACTCCACTATGACCAGCGCCAACAGCGCGAAACGCGTTCTTAGTTGGCTTTTCTTGATTTATCAAGAAATTGGGTTGGTCAAATATCACGGAGCAAGCTAAATAAACGTTTTGTTTATTTTTGCTCCACTAGATGGTGCTCTGCCATTTAAAAGCACATATGCTCGTGGTCAGGAGATGTCTTCTTTATTTTTAATTCATAAATATATTCACAAAAGTGGTTGAATCTATAACAATTCTCTCTGGTATTTACAAATTCATACAGATTTACAATATTATTAACTGTCTGTTGTTTAGAGCGCTAAAGAAGAATGGGCATTCCAACAGTAAGTGTCTCGAGTCGTAGGTTTCCTTGCCACAGTAACAGCTAGAGTCCTCAACCGCTCCAATTGTTGACAAATATCCCTAAAATTTCCGTGGTTCATTGTAAACTGCGTGTTGTAAAAGTTGAAAGGGAAAATGATGGAATTCCAAACTGGGAAAAAGCTTTGAAATATTTAATTTATTTTTATAAATAATTCATCCATTTTTTCTTTAAAATGATTTTATTATACTTGGAGAATGTGGCCAAAAAAGCATTTTGATCCTCTATAGAAAGGGTTGAGCGTTTGATTATTTTAGATTCAATATAGTCTGTGAGAAGGGGAATATTCACTAAAAAAAACTATGGACACAAATAGAAGAAGTAGTTTTATATGCTCTAATCGCTCAAATAAGAATTTCATATTGAATATAATTTAAGAAATGTCATGATGATTTTTTCATACAAAATTATTATTATTTTTTAGTATATATTCCCAACATTTTTCCAATAAATGAAAACATAAATTTTTCATTCTTACTGTCCTGCACAAAATGTCCATTGATGTGTGATGTAAAATTGATCTTCTTTTTTATTCTATGATTTGATAATTTTATAGCTAAGCTTTTAATTTGATCCATTGTGTTTAAAATAATTTCTCTATTCAAATTGGAACTTTAAGTTTATTTTGTAAGTGAAGTAAATTCGTTTTCTCTGGGCTTATTGATAATTTATTCTTATTACACCATTGATCACATAACATAGAATAAATTATCCTAATCAAAAAACCTCGGCAGACTTGTTCCAACAAATGATAGAAACGTCGTCTGAATAGCAAATGATTTCAACATTTAGATGATCGAAATTCTTCAGCAAGTCCTTTAACAATATATTCCATAATATTTGGGGACAAAGGACCGCCTTAAGCGCATTCTTTTGTCAGTTTTTTTTTGAAGTATAAAATGCTGTCCTTTAATATTGCCAAACTCTTTATTAACATAATTTGGAGTTATTTCAGAAATTTTAAAAATAAATAAAATTTTCGTATTAATTTTTATGCATTTCTCAATTTTTGAATGAATATTTCTCAACATTTTTGATATACATATGTATATTTTGAGAAATATATATATATTTTTACTATTTGTGATAAATATGTTTATTTTTTTACTATAGTGCTACACATTTTATAAAATAGCCTTTATATTTTCACAGCCTATTTTAAATTCTGTTTTCAAACTGTTATACACGATAAAAATATTTTTCTATATATAAAAAAAATATATTTTCTAGAATTTTCTATCTGTGACAAAAAAACTGAAAGTATTAAAAAAATATTAAATTTTGACCAATTATTGGCATATTGTTAATTTTTCACAAGTTCGCTTTTTCTCTCGCATTCTTATATTAATAGATTAGAAATTAGAAATAATATTTATACAATTTAAAATTTTTGAAATGTCTTCAGTTATCGTAGCTGGTGTTGCAATTGCTGCTACCGGTTATGCGTGTCGCTTTATTGCGAGAAGCATCAAACCTGCTGCAATTCAGCAACACCTTAAACAATTAGCAAAATCTTCAGCCTTTGGTGGCAGTAAATATTACAAAGGTGGTTTCGAACCTCAAATGAACAAGAGAGAAGCATGTTTAATTTTGGGAGTAAGTTCAACAGCTTCAAGAACTAGAATAATGGATGCCTATAAAAAGCTAATTGCCCTAAACCATCCGGACAAAGGAGGCTCACCATATTTGTCACTGAAAATTAATCAAGCAAAAGATCTCCTTGGTAAATAAATATTTTCCAAAATGATTACACATGTAAATTAGTGTTAGGTTTCAAAAATAAAATATATTTATATCACAAACATTTCTATTTAATTCCAATCCCAATCATTTTAAAATGAAGGTATGTTAAATGTATTTTTAAACTTTAACATGTTATATATTTGACCAAAAAACATTTTTTTTTTTGAATGTTAATATTACTCTTGTTTACTGCTCTTTACCTCATCTACGACTGTCCGAACTTTACAGAAGTGAGACATTGTTCTCCAATCTAAATCATTTAACTCTTTTACATCTGCCACTTTTCAAATATAAATTTTATGAACTCTGTCGAAATATATATGTAAATTTGTTAATATTCAATTCTAAGTTCTAATTTGTTTGTTTCCTCTAATAGGCGCAAATATTTCAATATTGTGTCTGGTTGATTAATAAAATGAAAAAAATATATAAATTACTCTTGCATCAGATTTTATCAAAGTATAGTATGTCTTCTTCTTTCATATCTCCACTCAATCATATTAGGGTGTCAAGTTGTAATGCTTGAGACTTTTGATGGTGTCTGCCGGTGATCAATGCCGGCTCATCAATGGATGAGTCAATACAACTGCACGACGGCCGATGCAGCATAGTGGGGAGATTTGACAACCATCATGACTGGGTGAAGTAGAATGTGTCTGCCTTTGTCATTAAGACTGGGAGCACTACTCAGCGGCAGGCCAACTTAGCTCTGAAAGAAATGGCCGCTTCTGACATGAGGAACAGACGCCATGTGCAACCGCTCCTAACATGGAGTACAGACTCATCCTGTATCTCTGGTTAGGAGTCCTTACAGGGTACTAACAGCCGGGCCAGCTGAACCCAGGTTTTTAGTGAGCTTGTTACTGCTACCCCTCCTCCTTTTTCTCCCGGGCTTGGGACTGGCAAAGGCAGAGTTATAGTATGTCTAAAAGTTGACAATACAACCCTTCAAAGTGCGAGTTTTTGAATTAAGATGCACTTCTTTCTCTTTATTAGATGCAGCAGCGCAATATATGGATGGTTTCAACTTGTGATAAAGCACAATTTGGATTTTAGACTATAAACACAAGAGAATAAGACCAAATCCAAATAAATAGTGTGTGACATTTCAGCGTTGTTACCATCATCAAACAAAAGTACTGAATGAGAAATTTTACCATAGCATGTTTTATATAGTTACTGTTATCAAAACTATCTTCTTATTTGCTATTTTGTTTACACACTTGATAACCGTAACTATTTAAAAACATGCTGTGGTAAAATTTCTTATTTGTCTACGGCCATACCACATTGAAAACACTTCTTTTTCTTTCTTATCTCCACTCAATCATATTAAGGTATTAAGCTTGTAAAGCTTGAGACTTTTGATGGTGTCTGCCGGGGGACAACCATCATGGCTAGGTGAAGTAAAATGCGTCTGCCTTTGTTATTATGACTGGGAGCACTACTCAGTGGCAGGCCGACTTAGCTCCAAAAGAAATGGCTGCCTCTGACATGAGGAACAGACGCCATGTGCACAGCCGCTCCTAACATGGAGTACAGACGCTGTTCATCCTGTATCCCTGGATCAGGAGCCCTTACAGCAAGCATGTCAAACTCGCGGGCCTCATGCGGCCCACAACGAATAAATTTGCGGCCCACCAGACAATATATTTTAATAAAAAATTTTTTTTATAAATGCCAAATATCAGGGAGAAAATAATAACTTTGCTTTCTTTTTTCTTATTAGTATTTTTTAAAATAAACCTACATAAATGTTACAATAAAAATATAATTACATGTTTTCTTTTTTTGCGGCCCACATAATCTTATTACTTTTTTATTTGGCCCGTGTTAGGATTTGAGTTTGACATGCTTGTCTTACAGGGTACTATCAGCCGGGCCAGCTGAACCCTGGTTTTTTAGTGAGCTTGTTACTGCTCCCCCTCCTCCTTTTTCATCCGGGCTTGGGACCGGCAAAGGCGGAGTTTAAACACAAGGTATTAAGACCAAACCCAAATAGTGTCAGAAGTTTCGGTAACAGCGTTGTTACCATCATCAGACAGAAGTACTGAATGAGAAATTTTACCACAGCATGTTTTAAATAGTTACTGTTTAAAAACATGCTGTGGTAAAATTTCTCATTTGCCTATGGCCATACCACATTGAAAACACTGGTTCTCGTCCGATCACCGAAGTTAAGCAATGCCGGTCAGTACTTGGGAGGGTGACCATCTGGGAACACCGGGTACTGTAGGCTATTACCTTTTTTGGGAAGTCGGTGGAAGGATGGTCTAAACCGTTTGTTTTTGACTGCTACAACCCGTGATCGAATCCCACATTTGGCACTTTGGGGCTCAAAAATAATCTATTTTGGTTAGCAGCCCCGTAAATAAAGATATTTCCAAAATTTCTTATTCAGAACAAGAAAATAAGTCCTAATCCAATTTTTGGATTAGGTCTTATTTTCTTGTATTATAATCTATAATCCAAATTGTGCTTTATCATTCTCATTCAGTACTTTTGTCTGAAGATGGTAACAACTCTGTTATCGAAACGTCACACACTTTTTTATTTATTTGGATTAGTCTTATTACCTTGGTTTCAACTTGTAGAACATAGTTACATAATCTACAATGCTCTGTCATTAATTGGTCTTAGAATATAATTTAGGAGATTTTTGGCAAAATGTAAACACCATCATCATGTACAATAACACTTTTCAAACTTTGCAATATATATAATAACAAATAAAAACATTAAGATGCGAATGTTTCTTTCACAAATAAATCAAACTTCTACTGTCTTTACTGCGGTGAAAATATATATTGGGAGGGCTTGGCTCATCAGTGGTGAACCCTCCCAGCGGTTTTGCCAATTTAATCTATCAGACCCCTTCTTTAGAGCTCTAATACTGTATTGGATCATTCTGCTTATATATGCTACTCTGAAGGGTGGAAGCTCAAAAATGGTATTTAAGCAAACTATGGACATAAGCTTTTAGGATAGAAGAATTGCATTTATATATTTGCATCGAGCAATGCTCTTCCTCAAACAATAAGTACAAGACCAGCTAGATATAAATAAATATAAACCAATAATGTGCCATCTATATATAGGAAATAAAAACATTAAGATGTGAATGTTTCTTTCACAAATAAATCAAACTTCTACTGTCCTTACTGCTATGAAAAAATATTGGAAGGGCTTGGCTCATCAGTGGTGAACCCTCCCAGCGACAATTTAATCTACTAGACCGCTTCTAAAGAGCTCTAATACCTAAATAACTCCATTTTTTTTTTATTTATATATAAATTAAAAATTAAAAATATTTTAAAACAACATAGAGGTTGTTGGATTCCATAGTGGCATAGGCCACTGGACCATATTAAAATTGAGTTTTTTTATTATTATTAAAAAAAATCATTTCAAAAATGCAAAATGTTTAATCTACCATTAAACTGGCAAAACAGCTAGAAGGGTTCACCACTGATGAGCCAGTCCCTTCCAATAATTTTTACATTGCAGTAAAGACAGTAGAAATTGTTTATTTTTAAAAAGAATCTTACACGTCTATAATATTTTTGAATTTTTATTACAGAAGCACACTAATGCATCATCTATCTATATATATATATAAATGAATGTATGTGTGTGTGGGTCTGTCCTTTATGCCTGACCAAACCACTCATTGGAACGCCATGAAACTTTGGGAAGTTATTTAGTATAGTACTGGGAAGGTTTCTGAAAAATAATATCTTGAATATTTTAATATCCTTAGAGTTATTTGCAGATTTGTAGATTTAACTCGCAAGCAGCGCCCCCATTGTGGCGATGATAACAAGTTTTTTTATCTATAAGTTTTATTATCACTAAGTTTATTATCTTAAAGATTATTTATCAAAAGTAAGATTTTCTACCAATTAATTGCGCACAAGTCAAGGTTAGTTATCGAGTATTTTTCAAGGGACCAGGAAAAAAATGTTCACTAGATAAAACGATGATTTTGTAATGTAGAAAATTAGGAAAGACAAAATTCAGGATGACACGGCAATTTATTTGAGACAAGAATAATGATACAATTCCAAGGCAAGATACTATTCCTTTAACTTCCAATTACCGAGGGAACCAATTAATATTGATTTTATTCAACTTATCGAGTATTTTTCTCAGGGCCCGGGAAAAAATGTTCACTTTATCGAGAGATTCAAATTTACGAGTTTCAAATTATCAAAATACAGTATAACCTCGTTAATTCGACACACGCAAATTCGACACTCTACCTTAATTCGACCATATTTAGATGTCCCGACCTCCGGCCTATCAAATAACAAACCGTAATTCGACAGTATCGATAATACGACAGTTCCGATAGTTCGACCATTTAAAAATTCTAATTTCGACAGTTGAATGTTTTTTTACATACAACTTTACCGCTAAACGGTATTACGGCTGCGACGATCGGCATCAGTGGGCGCCGATAGGATCGCACCTGCGCACTTTTGGTTAGTTTAAGTTTCACTTTGCAGTGCCGTTGCGCAATGTCGCGAGTGTTATATATATATATATATATTTTTTTTTTTTTACGCGGGAATTTAGGCTTTGTGCGCTAATTAATTTTAATTTTCAGCATTGAAATATTTTAGTTATTTTAAAATTTACAAATAATTTCTTTTTAAATAAATAAATCTTCATAAATGTAGCCACAATTATTATGATAACATTTTATTTCAATATTCCATTTCCATGTTATTATAAAAGATTTAAACACAAAATCAATAACACCTGCAGAATCAGTGGATCTCTTTAATACAATAAAAGCTCTTTTTTATTTAAAACACATTCCAGAGGAAGAAAGGCATGCATGTATTTTTTTTTTAAATAGACCATCTGGAATACATTTTGAATAGGATTTCAGTGAAAAAACAGACATCTATAAAATATTTTTTAAAAAGATGTTCATGATTATTTTTAAATTTACTTTTTATTTTCCATATTTATTTCCTTTCAACTGCTATATTTTTCAATTAGAATAAATTTTATTTGTAATTATTTATGTTTCAAAAATATGTATTATTGCCATTTTGTCCCTGATGCTAAAAGTTAATAATCAAAATAAAAAAATAAATACAAAAAAGTACTAATGCAATGGTTTCAATTAATATATCATTAATTTATATTACAAAGCAATTTTTTAAAAATATTATTTTCGTGAGTTAGATGATTAGCTAATCATCTAACCTTAATTCAACACTTCCTTAATAAAAGTGCAGTGAGTCATCCAGGCGGAGTAAGGAGTAAGTGGGCAGTAAGTGGTCCAGGCGTAGTTAGGAATAAGTGTGCAGTAGGTAGTCCAGGCGGAGTAAGAGGGCAGGAAGTAATCCAAGCGAAGTAAGAGGGCAATAGGCTGTCCAGGCGGAGTAAGGAGTAAGAGGGCAGAAGTTATCCCAGGAGTAAGAGGGCAGTAAATTGTCCTGGCGGAGTAAGGAATAAGAGGGCAGGAGGTAGTCCAGGCGGAGTAAGAGGTCATTAGTAGTCCAGGCGGAGTAAAGGGTACGCGTGCTGTAAGTATTCCAGGCGGAGTAAGAAGGCAGGAAGTAGTATTGGCGAAGTAAGAGGGCAGTAGGTGGTTCAGGCGGAGTTAGGAATAAGTGTGCAGTAAGTTCTCCAAGCGAAGTAAGAAGGCAGGAAGTAGTCTAGGCGAAGTAAGAGGGCAGTAAATTGTCCAGGCGGAGTAAGGAGTAAGAGGGCAGGAAGTAGTCCAGGCGGAGTAAGAGGGCAGTAAGTTATACAGGCGGAGTAAGGAGTAAGAGGGCAGGAAGTAGTCCAGGTGGGTAAGAGGGCAGTAAGTTTTCCAGGTGAAGTAAGAGGGCAGGAAGTAGTCCAGGCGGAGTAAGTAATAAGAGTGCAGTAAGTTGTTCAGGCGGTGTAAGGAGTAAAGTTGCAGTAGGTAATCCAGGCGGGGTGAAGAGTAAGAGGGCAGGAAGTAGTCCAGGCAGAGTAAGGAATAAGAGGGCATGAAGTAGTCAAGGCGTAGTATGGAGTAAGTGTGCAGTAAGAGTCCAGTCTGAGTAATAAGTGAAAGTGTAGTGAGTAGTCCAGGCAGAGTAAGAGGGCAGTAAGTTGTCCAGGCGGAGTAAGGAGTAAAAGGGCAGAAAGTAGTCCAGGCGGAGTAAGAGGGCAATAAGTAATCCAGGCGGAAAAAGAGGGCAGAGAGTAATCCAGGCGGAGTGAGTAGTAAGAGTGTAATAAGGAGTTCAGGAGGAGTAAAGATTAAGAGTGCAGTAAGTAGTACAGGCGGAGTAAGAGGGCAGAAAGTAGTCCAGGCGGAGTAAAAGGTAAAGTTCCTGTAGTAGTCCATGGTGAATGAGGAGTATGAGTGCAGTAGGTATTCCAGGCGGAGTAAGAAGTAAGAGTGCAGTAAGTATTCCAGGCGGAGTAAGTAATAAAAGTGCATTAAGTCGTTCAGGCGGAGTAAGGAGTAAAAGTGCAGTAAGTAGTCCAGGCGGTGTGATGAGTAAAAGGGTAGGAAGTAGTCCAGGCGGAGTAAGGAGTAAGAGTGCAGTAAGTCGTTCAGGCGGAGTAAGAAGTAATAGGAAAGGAAGTTGTCAAGGCGGAAAAAGGAGTAAGTGTGGAGTAAGTGGTCGAGGCGGAGTAATGAGTAAGAGTGCAGTGAGTAGTCCAGACGGAGTAAGGAGTAGAGGGGAGTAAGTAGTTCAAGAGGAGTAAGGAGTAAGAGTGCAGTAGTTGGTCAAGGCGGAATAAGTATTAAGAGTGCAGTGAGTAGTCCAGACGGAGTAAAGAGTAAGTGTGCAGTAAGTTGTCCAGGCGGGGTAAGGAGTAGAGGGGAGTATGTAGTTCATGCGGAGTAAGGAAAAAGAGTGCAGTAGTTGGTCAAGGCGGAATAAGTATTAAGAGTGCAGTGAATAGTCCAGACGGAGTAAGGAGTAAGTGTGCAGTAGTGGTCCAGGCGGGGTAAGGAGTAGAGGGGAGTAAGTAGTTCAAGCGGAGTAAGGAGTAAGAGTGCAGTAAATAATCCAGGCAGAGTAAGGAGTAGGTGTGCAGTAAGTGGTACAGGCGAAGTAAGAAGTAAAAGTGCATCGAGTAGTACAGGCGGAGTAAGAGGGCGGTAAGAAGTCCAGGCGGAGTAAGAAGTAAGAGTGCAGTAAGTAATCCAGGCGGAATAAGGAGTAAGTGTGCAGTAAGTGGTCCAAGCGGAGTAAGGAGTAAGAGTGCAGTGAGTAATCAGGCGGAGTAAGG